CACCCCACCGCTTGTCCCATCCATATCACCTGCCAGGTCTCCCCTGCCTCACCCTATTTCGCCTGATTTTATCCTTGCATTTGGCCCACTTCGTTTAACGCTTGTTTTGACTTTAGTGCACCCGTTCCCTGTGTTTTATCCCATTGTGTGTTTTTCTTTCTTTCTTCTCTTTCTTCTGTTTTTTGTATTTTATTTCAGTTATTATCTGCTGTATGCATTTTATTTTGTTTATTGTATTTGTTGGGCTTGGCCTCATGTTGGCCCCCCTGAGACCCGGGGGGGGGGGGATGGGGGCGGGGTCTAAAGTTTAATAATAATAATAATAATAATAATAATAATAATGCATGAGATTTCCAAAGGCTCTCTCAAAAAGCCACGTTTTCAGTTTTTTAGGGAAGGTCAGGAGGGAGGGAGGTGATCTAATATCCCTAGGGAGGGAGTTCCACCACTGATGGGCCACCACTGAAAAGGCCCTGCCTCTCGTTCCCACTAGTCGTGCCTGCAAAGAAGGCGGGACAAAGAGCAGGGCCTCCCCAGACGATCTTAAACTCCTAGATGTTCATAGGGAGAGATACATACAGACAGGTAAGCTGGGTCGGAACTGTTTACGTCTTTATAGCCTAAAGCCAGCACTTTGACTTGTGCTTGGTAGCAGACCGGCACCAGTCGAGCTGACATGACAGAGGGCTGTATTCTCCCTGAATGCCACTCTGGTGAGCAATCTGGCTGCTGCCCTTTGTTTTTTTTTTATTTTTATTTTTTTTTTTTTTTTTTTTTTTTTTTTTTTTTTTTTTTTTTTTTTTTCTTTTTGTTTTTTTTTTTTTGTTTGTTTTTTTGTCATCACTTACTGGATGTTAAAGCAGATTAGACTAAATTGGGAGGGATAGCCAATGCTCCAGAGGACAGGAGCAGAATTCAAAGCGATCTTCACAGATTAGAGAGATGATGGGCCAAAATTCACAAAATGAAGTTCAACAGTGACAAATGCAAGAGACTCCACTTAGTCAGAAAAAATGAAATGCAAAGTGACAGAATGGGGGACAATGCCTGGCTTGAGAGCAGTACATGTGAAAAAGATCTTGGAGTCCTCGTGGACAACAAGTTAAACATGAGCCAATGTGATGTGGCGGCAAAAAAAGCCAATGGGATTTTGGCCTGCATCAATAGGAGCATAGTGTCTAGATCTAGGGAAGTCATGCTCCCCATGCTCTATTCCGCTTTGGTTAGACCACACCTGGAATATTGTGTCCAATTCTGGGCACCACAATTCAAGAGAGATATTGACTAGCTGGAATGTGTCCAGAGGAGGGCGACTAAAATGATCAAGGGTCTGGAGAACAAGCCCTATGAGGAGCGGCTTAAGGAGCTGGGCATGTTTAGCCTGAAGAAGAGAAGGCTGAGAGGGGATATGATAGCCATGTATAAATAGCCACAGGGAGGAGAGAGCAAGCTTGTTTTCTATTGCCCTGGAGACTAGACAATGGCTTCAAACTACAAGAGAGGAGATTCCATCTGAACATTAGGAAGAACGTCCTGACTGTGAGAGCTGTTCAGCAGTGGAACTCTCTGCCCCGGAGGGGGTGGAGGCTCCTTCTTTGGAAGCTTTTAAGCAGAGGCTGGATGGCCATCTGTCAGGGGTGGTTTGAATGCAATATTCCTGCTTCTTGGCAGAATGGGGTTGGACTGGATGGCCCATGAGGTCTCTTCCAACTCTTTGATTCTATGATTCTATTTAATGTTTCTAAGCAGTTTGCAAAGGCAACCTCATGTAGAGTGTGTTACAGTAGTCTATACAGGGTTTAACCAGAGCATGGACCACCGTGGCCAAGTCCGACTTCCCAAGGTACAGGCGCAGCTGGCGCACAAGTTTTAATTGTGCAAAAGCTCCCTGGCCACCGCCGAGACCTGGGGTTCCAGGCTCAGCGATGAGTCCAGGATCACTCCCAAGGTGGGTCAGGGTCTGGAGAACAAGCCCTATGAGGAGCGGCTTAAGGAGCTGGGCATGTTTAGCCTGAAGAAGAGAAGGCTGAGAGATATGATAGCCATGTATAAATATGTGAGAGGAAGCCACAGGGAGGAGGGAGCAAGCTTGTTTTCTGCTTCCCTGGAGACTAGGACATGGAACAATGGCTTCAAACTACAAGAGAGGAGATTCCATCTGAACATGAGGAAGAACTTCCTGACTGTGAGAGCCGTTCAGCAGTGGAACTCTCTGCCCCGGAGTGTGGTGGAGGCTCCTTCTTTGGAAGCTTTTAAACAGAGGCTGGATGGCCATCTGTCAGGGGTGCAATATTCCTGCTTTTTGGCAGAATGGGGTTGGACGGGATGAAGGCCCATGAGGTCTCTTCCAACTCTTGGATTCTAGGATTCTATGATTCTATGATCTTCGGGGGGGGGGGGGGTGTAACCCCATCCAACACAGGCTGTAACCGTATGCCCTTTTTGGCCTTACGACTGACCAGGAGAACCTCTGTCTTGTCTGCTTTCAATTTCAAATTGTTCGTCTCCATCCCGCTCCAGTTCAGAACCAGAACAGCCTCTTTAGTCGCAGGTGGGAAGGAGTGGCAGAGTTGAATGCCTTCTGTGTACAGATACCATCAGACTGCAAAACTCTGGATGATCTCCCCCAGCGGCTTCATGTAGATGTTAAACAACATGGGAGAGAGTATTGATCCCTGCTGGACCCCACAGGACAATGGCTGTGGGGCCGAGCAGGGGTCCCCCAACAACACCACCTGGGAGCAGCCCTCCAGGAAGGACTGTGAAACAGACCCATTCCCACGAGGCGTCCCAGAAGGAGACCGTGGTCTACGGTATCAAAGACAGCTGAGAGGTCCAGCAGAACCAGCAAGGACGCACTTCCCCTGCCCAGTTCCTGGCGTAGATCATCCACTAAGGCGACCAAGGCTGTTTCATTTCCACGTCCCGGCCTCAAGCCAGGCTGTGCTGGATCTAGACCATCAGTCTCTCCCAAGAACACCTGGAGTTGCGAGGCCACCGTACATTCCAGGACTTTGCCCAAAAATGGGAGATTGGAGACAGCCCGAAAGTCGACGAATTGAGTGAGGTCCAGTGATGGTTTCTTCAACGGCAGTTTTATTATAGCTTGTTTTAAGCAGGCTGGAAACTTTCCCTCCTGCAAGGAGGCATTGACCACCACCTTCATCACCCACTCTGCCAACCCCCCCCCCCCTCGGGCTTCCTTTATCAGCCAGGATGGGCAGGGGTCAAGGGTGCGTGTGGTTGCCCTCGCCTCCCCATATCTTGTCCGCATCCTCGAGCTGCATGAATTGGAATGAATCCATCAAAACCCAACAAACAGGTGCTTGTGTTGCATCCTCAGAGGCTGCCGCTTACATGGCGTCAAGGTCAGAACAGATGAAAGTTACTTTGTCCGCAAAAAACCAAGCAGATCCTTCACAGGTAGCGGCCAAATTGTCAGGGATCCCGTCTTGCAAGATGGGATTTAACAAGCCTCTGACCATTGGAAAGAGTTCAGCTGGGTGGTTCTTTGTGGACACAGTGATGGCCGCAAAGAAAGATGTCTTCGCAACATCGATTGCCGTGGCATATGCCTTTAGATCAGTGGTTCTCAACCTTTCTAATGCGGCGACCCCTTAGTACAGTTCCTCACGTTGTGGTGACCCCCAACCATCACATTTTCATTGCTACTTCGTAACTGTAATTTTGCTACTGTTATGAATTGCAATGTAAATATCTAATATGCAGGATGTGTTTTCAAATCCCAAATACCTAATATGCCCAAATTTGAATTCTGGTGGGGTTGGGGGATTGATTTTGTCATTTGGGAGCTGTAGTGGCTGGGATTTAAAGTTCACCTACAATCAAAGACCATTCTGAACACCACCAATGATGAAATTGCACCAAACTTGGCACACAGAACTCCCCTGACCAAGAGAAAATACTGGGAGGATCTGGTGGACATCAACCTTGAATTTTTGGAGTTGTAGTTCACCTACATCCAGAGAGCACTGTGGACTCAAACAATGATGGATCTGGACCAAACTTGGCACGAATACTCAATACTCAAAACTGGTGTAGATTGGGGGAAATAGAACTTGATATTTGTGGTAGTTGCTGGGATTTATAGTTCACCTACAATGATATAACATTCTGAACCCCACCAATGATAGAGTTGGACCAAACTTCCCACACAGAACCCATGACCAACAGAAAATACTATGTTTTCTGATGGTCTTTGGTGACCTCTCTGACACCCCCTCGTGACCCCCCCAGGTTGAGAACCACTGCTTTAGATAGAGTCAGAGTTGTGTTCAGTTTGACTTGTAATGCCTAGCCACACGCACACTAGTCTGCTCTTCATTCATTTCATTGCTGTCATTTATTAATGTTAAGTTTGTTTATATAATTTGTGTTTAATGTTGGCTATGTTAGATGTAAATTAAGTGATAGGTTATGATGTTATGTATTTATTTTGGTAGAATTTTGCTGCAGATATTGTTTTTTGTGACATTGTTGTTTGTTTTGTGTTTCTTATTTATGAATTGGATCTGGCATTGAATGTTTGCCGTCTTCTGTTGGAACCCATCCCGAGTCCCCTTGGGGAGAGAGGGCGGAATATAAATAAGGTTTTATTATATTATTATATAAAAAAATACTTATTAAGGATTAGAGAAGAAAAGTAGTTGAGTGTATCCAAATGGCCAAGATCTCCAATGGCATAAGGGGAGGAAACAAAGAAGAAAATGGAGACGGGTATTGGGTATTTAAAAAGGAAGACAAAAATAGATTATGAAATAGCCAAACAGGGGGATTTATTAACTATAAGGACAGATTTTTGTAAGATACTAGTTGTATACGGTGTGGTGTTGGAAGCCATGGGTGGGAGTTCACAGCTGGGATTGAGTAAATAATACTTGTATTTTGATTGTTGAACTTTTATGTATCTTTCAAAAAAGGTACTATAATTAGAATTTAATAAAAATGCAACATAAATGATACAATAATATTTGCCCTAGGTTCAGGGTGCAAATCTGCATTCCCACCAAAAGACCCACACAGGCGAGATGCCACATCAGTTCATGGAATGTGGAAAGAACTTCAGTCAGAGCGGAGACCTGTGTTCCAATCAAAGGACCCACACAGGGGAGAAGCCACATCAATGCATAGAATGTGGAAAGAGCTTCAGTCGGAGTGGAAATCTGCGTCACCATCAAAGAACCCACACAGGGGAGAAGCCATATACATGCATGGAATGTGGAAAGAGCTTCAGTCTGAGTGGAAATTTGCATCAACATCAAAGGACCCACACAGGGGAGAAGCCATGCACATGCATTGAATGTGGAAAGAGCTTCAGCCGGAGTGGAAATCTGTGGTGCCATCAAAGGACCCACACAGGGGAGAAGCCACATGAATGCCTGGAATGTGGAAAGCGCTTCAGTCAGAGTGGAGAGCTCCATTCCCACCAAAGGACCCACACAGGCGAGAAGCCACATCAGTGCATGGAATGTGGAAAGAACTTCAGTCAGAGTGGAAAACTGCATTGCCATGAAAGTACCCATACAGGGGAGAAGCCACATCAATGCATGGAATGTGGAAAGAGCTTCAGTCAGAGTGGAAATCTGCGTTCCCATCAAAGGGCCCACACAGGGGAGACACCATATCAGTGCATCGAATGTGGAAAGAGTTTCAGTTGGAGTGGAGACCTGCATTCCCATCAAAGGATCCACACAGGGGAGAAACCACATAAATGCATAGAATGTGGAAAGAGCTTCATTCAGAGTGGACATCTGCGTCACCATCAAAGGACCCACACAGGGGAGAAGCCACATCAATGCATAGAATGTGGAAAGAGCTTCAGTCGGATTGGAAATCTGCGTCGCCATCAAAGGACCCACACAGGGGAGAAGCCATATACATGCATGGAATGTGGAAAGAGCTTCAGTCAGAGTGGACATCTGCGTCACCATCAAAGGACCCACACAGGGGAGAAGCCATATACATGCATGGAATGTGGCAAGAGCTTCGGTTGGAGTGGAAATTTGTGTTCCCATCAAAGGACGCACACAGGGGAGAAGCCACATCAATGCCTGGAATGTGGAAAGAGCTTCAGTCAGAGTGGAGAGCTCCGTTCTCACCAAAGGACCCATACAGGAGAGAAGCCGTATACATGCATGGAATGTGGAAAGAGCTTCAGCCTGAGTGGAAATCTGCGTCACCATCAAAGGACCCACACAGGGGAAAAGTCACACCTATGCATTGAATGGGGCAAGAGCTTCCATCAGAGTGCAAATATGTGTCATCATCAATGGACCTACACAGGGCAGAAGCCACATCAATTCATTTAAAGTGGAAACAGCTTCAGAGTGAAGAGCTCTGTTCCTGCCAACTGACCCACACAGGAAAGAAGCCACATCTATGCATGGAATGTGGAAAAAGCAGTCAGAGAGGAAGTCTGCATTCCCATCAAAGGACCCACACAGGGGAGAAGCCATAAACATGCATAGCATATGGAAAGAGCTACAGTTGGAGTGGAGAATTGTGTTCCCCTCAAAGGACACCCACAGGGGAGAAGCCACATAAAAGCATTGAATGTGGAAAGAGTTTCACTGAAAGTGGGGCTCTGCTTTCCCATCAAAGGACCCACACATGGCTAGAGGAAGAGACCTCCTTTTGTGTTTCCTAGTTCTGTTTAAAAAACCTGCCAGACAACGTTCTCGCCCCTCCACAGCCAGGCAAAGAATGAGAGAATGGAAGCAAAGAGGAAGGCCACCACCTTGTTCTCGGTTGGTCACAGATAACAGTTTGTGTGGCCTGACTTGACTGCTGCTGGAGGCAGTTCCCCACAGAGGAGGACCCTTCTCAGTATTGCCGCCATTTGTGAAGGGGTTAACCTGACCTCAAGGAAAGCATCACAGACTTCTGGGATGATCTGTGAAGGCTTGCTGAAATGAGAGCAGCTGAAATCTTATGATAAAAAGGTTTCTGGAAAAGACTCGCTCTTTGGGAGCAGTTAACAGCATGTTGGAAATGAGAACCTTCTTCGAGCTTTATCTTATAGTTTGGTTATTTATGATCCTGTTGCTTATTGTTTTGTGTGTAAGTTCTGGTATGAAACTTCCTTTACTCTATGGTTCCTGAGAAGTTGTGGGAGGGGCTACAGACCACATAGTTTGCTTAAACCACATACTTGCACACACTTGCTTGCCGTTCTTGTTGTAAGAGAGATGTCCTGGCCTGATGGCACAGAGAATTATTTCAAACATATCTGAAACGGGACTGATACGTTTTGTACCTGTGTATTCTGAACACATGAGCCCTACTTCATTCCTCGGACACCCCCCCCCCCTTTCCAGATACATTATATTGCTCTCTCAGCCACTGTTTTTAAACTTTTAGTCCTGCAACCAGCCCTGCCCACTATGTTCAAATATTGTGATTTTATATGGTCTGATGTGTTTATTTTTGTTTCTTGCATTCTATTTTTTATGTTTTATTGTTGTACTCTTGTGTTGTGCATTTGCATTGTTGTACTGCTGGGCTTGGCCTCATATAAGCCGCCCCGATTCCCCCTGGGGAGATGGTGGTAGTGGCGGGGTGTAAATAAAGTATTATTATTATTATTATTATTATTATTATTATTAACCCTGAAGGGGGCTCAAGGCGGCCTTACAACAGGCAGCAATTTGATACCCTACACACATTTATCAAATAAACAATTACAATTAAAACCAAAAATTAGAATATTAATTACTAAAAACATCAATTAAAACACCCAAGGCCCATCAGGGCTGTCCCTCTCTGCTTAACTGACCAGACCAGGCCTGACCTGGTGCTTGAGGGGACTTAGGTCTGTCCGGGAGGAGGTTTTCCTGGGCAGGGATTCCAAAGGGTGTTTTGCCTTCCTTGGATATCTCAGCGGCTTCCGATACCAGCGACCATGGTATCCTGCTGGGAAGACTAGCTGGGATGGGACTCGGGGGCACGGTTCTTCTGTGGCTCTGGTCCTTCCTGGAGGGTCGTGCCCAGTCGGTGAAGTTGGGGGACTCCTGCTTGGACCCCTGGCCATTGACCTGTGGGGTCCTGCAAGGTTCCATTCTGTCCCCCATGCTGTTTAACATCTACATGCAACCACTGGGAGAGGTCATCCGGAATTTGGAGTACGGTGCCACCTCTATGCAGATGACACCCAGCTCCACTACTCTTTTCCACCAGACTCCAAGGAAGCCCCGAGGATACTGGACCAGTGCCTGGCTGCTGTGGCGACCTGGATGAGGAAGAACAAGCTGAGGATCAATCCTGGCAAGACAGAGGTCCTCCAGGTCAGTCGTTCGGCTGACCGGGGTATTGGGTGGCAACCTGTGCTGGATGGGGTTGCACTCCCCCTGAACTCACAGGTCCGCAGTTTGGGGGTCCTCCTGGACTCAGCGCTGACGCTTGATGCTCGGGTGACGGCAATTGAAATTTGTGCGCCAACTGCGACCTTACCTCGTGAAGTCTGACTTGACCGTGGTGGTCCATGCCTTAGTTAGCTCCAGACTGGATTGCTGTAATGATCTCTACGTGGGGCTACCTTTGAGGACGGCCCGGAAACTACAACTTTTCCAACGTTCGGCAGCCAGATTAATAACTGGGGCGACTTACAGGAAGCGGTCAACCCCCCTGTTCAAGGAGGTCCACTGGCTGCCGTTTATTTTCCGGTCCCAATTCAAGGTGCAGGTTATCACCTAGAAAGCCCTAAACGGTTTGGGACCCGCCTACCTGCGTGACCGTATCTCCCTCCATGAACCATCTCAGGCCCTCCAATCCTCCGGGGAGGCCCTTCTCTCGCCCCCGCCAGTCTCTCAAGCTCACCTAGTGAGTACAAGGGAGAGAGCCTTTTCCGCTGTGGCTCCCCAACTCTGGAACTCACTGCCTGGAGAAATTAGGAAAACCCCTTCCTTTGAAATTTTTTAAAAAGAACCTCAAAACCTGGCTCTTCCGCCGCGCCTTTGATGAGTAGGTATATAATCCCACATGATTGCTGTGCCTCAAAGTTCTGTCATTGGAGTATACGTGTCGTCCCCCCCCCCATGGGAAAGCTTGATTCCACAACCCCCGCTAAAATGGGCCCCCCTCCGTAAATTACCTGCTTCCCTCTTCTATCTTGCCCGACTTTCTAATTAGTTTTAATCAGTTTGTCTTTTAATCATTACATGTAGCCCACCCATGATTACTGTGTTTGTGTACATTGTAATGTCTATATTGTTGTGTATTCATGTTTTATGTAACTATGATGTTATTGGGTTTTTGTAGGTTTTTCGGGCTATATGGCCATGTTCTAGAGGCATTCTCTCCTGACATTTCGCCTGCATCTATGGCAAGCATCCTCAGAGGTAGTGAGGTCAGAGGTAGTGAGATTGAATATGGCCATTCAAGATTCATAAGTTTAGACACCAATCCATGTGGGAGGATTGTGCAGCATTGCCCAGACACGAATCAAGGGACATGAAAGGCACTGCAGACTACTTCAATTAGAGAAATCAGCCATAGCAGAGCACCTCATGAACCAACCTGGGCACAGCTTATTATTTGAGAACCCAGAAATGCTGGACCACTCCCACAACCACAAGGTCAGACTACACAGAGAACCCATTGAAATCCACAAGAAGCATGTGGACAATTTCAACAGAAAGGAGGAAACCATGAAAATGAACAAAATCTGGCTACCAATATTAAAAAACTCTAAAATTACAATAGCAAAACAACAGAGAGGAAACAAACAGGCACATCTAATCATCTCTCAACAAAAGATTGCCCCAGGCACTGCCAGGCCATCAAATGCTAATCAAGGTGGTCAATTGAAACATTCACACCTAGCTCCAACAGACAAAAGTCCTGTGTCCCACCCTGGACATTCTACAGATATATAAACCCAATTTTCCTAGCTCCAACAGACCTCAATACCTCTGAGGATGCTTGCCATAGATGTAGGCAAAACGTCAGGAGAAAATGCCTCTAGAACATGGCCATATAGCCCGGAAAAACCTACAACAACCCAGTGATTCAGGCCATGAAAGCCTTCGACAATACATAGTGTTATTGTTTATTGTTTGCGTTTTTGGTTTGTGTTTTGGTTTTTCTTTATTGTAATTGTCCTTTGGGCTTGGCCTCATGTAAGCCTCTCTGAGTCCCCATTGGGGAGATGGTGGCGGGGTATAAATAAAGATGATGATGATGATTATTATTATTATTGCCTTCCTGTGCAAAAGAACCTAAGGCACCTGGAAGTCATTGGTGGTCTCCCATCCCAATCCTAACCAGGCTGGCCCTGCATAGCAGATTGAGCCAGGAATGCTGACTCTGGCGGCGTGATGACCAGGTGGCATTTCTCTTTCCTCCTGACTTACTACCAATCAGTGCCTTCCCGGGTCAGGAAGATCAGCCTGGCACAATGAATAGCCGAGGCAGATGCGCAAAGTCCTAAATGAATGGAAGCTGAGAAGCCGCAGGACCCGCAGATTTCCCTCGCGGGGTGTGCAAGGACAGAGCCTCTCCAAAAATCCCGCGCCATTAGACAAGAGATGAACGGCACTCGCCACCATGGCAGCTCTTCCGATCAGCTACAAACGCTGGGCAATTTTAGACTGTGCGCTTTTGATGAGTTTACATCTGATATGGACCAATATATATAAAGCTATTGTCCTCCCAACCCTGCTATACGCCTGTGAGACGTGGACTGTCTACAGACGTCACATGCAACTCCTGGAACGATTCCATCAGCGCTGCCTCCGGAAAATCCTGCAAATCTCTTGGGAAGACAGGCGGACAAACGTCAGCGTGCTGGAAGAAGCAAAGACCACCAGCATTGACGCGATGGTCCTCCACCACCAACTCCGCTGGACCGGCCAGTTTGTCCGGATGCCCACCGTCTCCCAAAGCAGTTGCTCTACGAACTCAAGAACGGAAAACGGAATGTTGGTGGGCAGGAAAAGAGATTTAAAGATGGGCTCAAAGCCAACCTTAAAAACTCTGGCATAGACACTGAGAACTGGGAAGCTCTGGCCCTTGAGCGCTCCAGCTGGAGGTCAGCTGTGACCAGCAGTGCTGCAGAATTCGAGGAGGCACGAGTGGAGGGTGAAAGAGAGAAACGTACCAGGAGGAAGGCGCGTCAAGCCAACCCCGACCGGGACCGCCTTCCACCTGGAAACCAATGCCCTCCTCACTGCGGAAGAAGATGCAGAGCAAGAATAGGGCTCCACAGCCACATGCGGACCCACAAGAACACTGGAAGAAAATCATCCTCGGAAAGCGAGGGATTGCCTAAGTAAGAAGTAAGTAAAGTATGGACCAATTTGGGATTATATTAATGGGTTATTTTATATTGTTATGCTTTAACTGTGATTGTAAATCGGCTTGAGTCCTTGGAGAAAGGAAGGCGATAAGGAAATGCCCCAAATAATTAAATAAATAAATAAAATTAAACTTTTTGTTTTATTTTTATTTTATTTATTTCCTTCCCTTTGGGAGCCCATCGCAACCAAGAAACAAGACACAGAGAAAGACAAGGGCGCTTGCGCTGCAAATGTGGAAAGAGGAGGGAAGGGAGAACCCGCTGAATAATCCTGGACGACACAGACGGATTATTCCCCAAGACGTAATTAAGGAGCAAACTAAGAGCAGAAGGAGACACGATTTACACTTTGTAATAACGTGGAGGAGGAGGAGGAGGAGGAGGAGGAGGAGGAAAGGGGGAGAGAGGCAGAGAACAGACGCGCTGCGAGCAAAACGAGGCAAGTGCTAGAACGGGAAAATTGAAGGGTTTTTATTAATTAGACTAATGAAGTGAAGTAGAAGAGATGCTCTTGAGATTTCAACAAGGACTTCAATAAGGATATTGGAAGCAATACCATAAACAGAAGAGAGAGGAAAGAGGAGAGCGTTTTCTGTAAGATGTGGGAAAAGCTTTTGAATTGAAATGTAAAGTACATAAAGTAGAATCCTCCTCCTCCAAAGAAAGGGAGGAAGGAAAGAAAGAGAGAGAGAGAGAGAGAGAGAGAAACCATTGGCAAGTTGGCTTCAGTTGCCCAGTTCTGTAAAGCCACACAAAACAACAACAGACAAAACAGCCTTCAACAACTTGACCTTAAAACATTGTTTGCAAAACAATACAAAACTAAATTAGAAACAAACACACCGACAAAACACACACAAACTACTTTGACAAACAGACAGACATGGGTCTAATTCTATGAACCTCAGCCTCTACCTGTTGCTGTATATACCTTATTGCTCTACTCCGCTTAGACCAGCGGTTCTCAACCTGTGAATCCCCAGGAGTTTCGGCCCTCAACGCCCAGGAATCCTCACAGTCGGCAAGCGGTAGGCCACGTCACCTGGGGACCCGCGGGTGGAGAACCCCTGAATCAGACCATCCTTTATAAAGACACTTCTGTCTTGGATACCTCTATTCTAACTCCTAAATCTTACACTTGACTTGTGACCCTACCTATTGTTATAAAAAGGGATTTAAACGTCCCAATGTCTCTTGAAAGATCAAAGATTTCTCTTTAATCAGAGAGTCCGTTTCTCCATCTCTACTGGTTTCCTAGTCGCCTAATCTAGGCTGAAAAATGCGGTATAGAAATAAAGCAAATAAATTTCCGGATCTTCATCAGTTAATTTCCTTGAGTTGGGATAACTCCTAAAGAGCTGGGCGCTCTCTCTCCCTCCCTCTCTCTCCCTCTCTCTCCCTCTCTCTCTCCCCCCTCTCTCCCTCCCTCCCTCTCCCTCTCTCTCTCCCCCCCTCTCTCTCCCCCTCTCTCTCCCCCTCACTCTCCCTTCCTCCCTCTCCCCCTCCCCCCTCTCTCCCTCCCTCTCTCCCTTTCTCTCCCCCTCCCCCCCTCCCTCCCCCCCTCTCTCTCTCCCTTTCTCTCCCCCCCTCTCTCTCTGCCCCGGAGGGAGTGAGGTGAAGGGAGGCTCCTTCCTTCTTTGGAGGCTTTGAAACAGAGGCCGGGCAGCCACCTGTCAGGTGATTCTCCTGCTTCTTGACAGAATGAGGTTGGACTGGGTGGCCCACCAGGCCTCTTCCAACTCAAGGAGTCTATGATCCTTCCTTCCATTGTTTATTTTGTTTATTTCACACACTTCTATCCCCGCCTTCTCCCCACGAGGAGGACTCAGGGGAGAAACATGATTTTTGTTCCTGGGCAATCAATGTCATTTCCTAATTGGTTCTATCATTTTGAAAAAACATGTGAAAAGTATATTAAACTGCAGCCTATTTTGTTACCGTTTTTCAATGACTAATACAGTGTCAACCAATTCAACATACCTTAAGCCAGCCACAAAAACAAAGTTTCTGGAGTATAACAACTACCGTATATTCCGGGGTACTAGACGGCTTTATAGGCATGTAAAACCTTATAAAATTTTGGGGGTCGTCTAGCAGGCAGGGTATAAAATTAAAATAATAATAAAATTACTTAATATGGCTGCCTTGGCCTTGGGCTCGAGTCCTTTGATGTGAACATACACTTGACCTCTGAGTGAAAACTCTGTCAACACTCCAAGCATTTATAAGGTTTCTCCCCTGTGTGGGTCCTTTCATGTCGCAGCAGATGGTCCCTCCGAGTGAAGCTCTGTCCACACTCCAGGCATGTATAGGGTTTCTCCCCAGTGTGAGTCCTTTGATGCGATCGTAGACTAGAACTTTGAGAGAAGCTTTGTCCACACTCCAGACATGTATAGGGTTTCTCCTCAGTGTGAATCCTTTGATGTGAACGTAGACCTCCACTCTGAGTGAAGCTCTGTCCACACTCCAGGCATGTATATGGTTTCTCCCCAGTGTGAGTCCTTTGATGTGAACATAGCCCTGAACTATGAGTGAAGCTCTGTCCACACTCCAGGCATTTATAAGGTTTCTCTCCAGTGTGAGTCCTTTGATGTAAATGAAGATGTCCACTACGAGTGAAATTCTGACCACACTCCAGGCATGTATAGGGTTTTTCCCCAGTGTGGGTCCTTTGATGTAAATGTAGATGTCCCTTTTGAGTAAAGCTCTGACCACACTCAAGGCATTTATAGGGTTTCTCCCCAGTGTGTGTCCTTTGATGTGAATGTAGGTGTCCCCACTGAGTAAAGCTCTGTCCACACTCCATGCATTTATAGGGTTTCTCCCCAGTGTGAGTTCTTTGATGTGAAGATAGACCTGAACTTTGAGTGAAGCTTTGTCCACACTCCATGCATTTATATGGTTTCTCCCCAGTGTGAGTCCTTTGATGTGCATACAGACCTGCATTGTGAGTGAAGCTCATTCCACATTCCAGGCATTTATAGGGTTTTTCCCCAGTGTGGGTCTTTTGGTGTGAAAGTAGACCTGAACTTTGAGTGAAGTTCTGTCCACACTCCACACATGTATAGGGTTTCTCTCCAGTGTGAGTCCTTTGATGTGAACACAGATTTGCTTTATGACTAAAGCTCTTTCCGCACTCCAGGCATTTATAGGGTTTCTCCCCAGTGTGAGTCCTTTGATGTGAACGTAGTCCTGAACTTTGAGTGAAGCTTTGTCCACACTCCAGGCATGTATAGGGTTTCTCCCCAGTGTGAGTCCTTTGATGTGAATGCAGACCTATATAATGAGTGAAGCTCTTTCCACACTTCCGGCATGTATAGGGTTTTTCCCCAGTGTGAGTTCTTTGGTGTGAACGTAGACTAGAACTTTGAGAGAAGCTTTGTCCACACTCCAGGCATGTATAAGGTTTCTCCCCACTGTGTGTCCTTTGATGTGAACGTAGATGTCCACTGTCACTGAAGCTCTGTCCACAATCCAGGCATTTATAGGGTTTCTCTCCAGTGTGCATTCTGTGGTGCATACGTAGGTGTGAACTCTGAGCAAAGCTCTTTCCACACTCCAAGCATTTATAGGGTTTCTCCCCAGTGTGAGTCCTTTGATGTGAACGTAAATGTGCGCTCTGAGTGAAGCTCTTTCCACACTCCTGGCATGTATAGGGTTTCTCTCCAGTGTGCGTCCTTTGATGCGTCTTCAGATATCCATGCTGACTAAAGTTCTTTCCACATTCAGTACATTTATATGCATTTTTCTCCATGTTGGCAGTGTTATGTACATACGATTACAAATTGGACACTTGTCTCTTGATTTTCCCTTTTTGATCTAAAGTGAATTTAAGAATTCAGCAAGATCGGCACCTCGAGGTGACTTCTTTTTCCTATGGGACTGGCTTCCTTGCTGCACTTTGGTTTCCAAATTTCTCAATATCCACTAGAAGCTTTGTTTCTCATCATGGCTGGGGTGGCTCCAACCCTCATGTCCCTGGTCAAGAAACAAGAAGCAAAAGGTCAAGCATGAAGCCCCAAAACTCATGGATCATGTTGAAAATGGAAATAACAAGAAATACAGGCATGAATGGTCACAAGGGTACATGGAGATCAACAAAATGAGCCCTGAAATCAAGAAAAGCAGTCACAGATTCATAAACAAGGAACAGATTCGGATTCTCTGAGTGAACATAATGGAGACAGAAGCTGGTTCTGGTTCAAAGGTGGTTCAACAAACGCAGGACAAAGAAAGAAGAGAAGAAGCAAGGGAGGAATGAGGGAGGGGAAGGCAGAGAGAGGGGTGGAAGCAGGGGTGGCTCAACCACTACCAAGTAAGCATTGGCGGTATAGTGCATTTGGCCCAGGGGCACTCTGAGACGCCTCCGTAAATGCCCCATATATATATATATCAATACACACACACACACACACACACAAGCTGTCCCCTGCCAGGCGTTGCTGTGGCCCAGTCTGGTGATCTGGAAAATAAAGTAATGAGAAAGTGTTGGTTTCTAATATATGTAATGTCTTTCTGCTTGTGGGTAAACAGTATTTCTTGCTGTTTCTTTGCCAGTGTTGATGTGGAGAGTGTCTGGTTTGCCCACTCGGGAACATGTAACATATCATTGTCCTTCTTTAGGGGTCCCTTAGAAATCTTTGATACTGCATCTGTCATATACATATGTGTGTGTGTGTGAATGGCTGGATGGCCCTTTGTCAGGAGGGCTTTGTTTTGTTGCCTGGTGAAGGGAGCTGGACTGGATGGCCTTAAGGCAGCATTTCTCAACCTGGGAAGTCAATACACCAAGGGGGGGGGTCACCAGGGGGGTGTCAGAAGGGTCACCAAAGACCACCAGGAAACACAGTATTTCCTGTTGGTCATGGGGGTTTTGTGTGGGATGTTTGGCCCAATTCCATCGTTGGTGAGGTTTGGAATGCTCCTTGATTGTAGGTGAACTATAAATCCCAGTAACTACAACTCCCAAATGTCAAGGTCTATTTCCCCCAAACTCCATCTGTGTTTATATTTGGGCATATTGAGTATTCATGCCAAATTTGGTCCAGATCCATCATTGTTTGAGTCCACAGTGCTCTCTGGATATAGGTGAACTACAACTCCCAAACTCAAGGTCAATGCCCTCCAAACCTTTCCAGTATTTTCTGTTGGTCATGGGAGTTCTGTGTGCCAAGTTTGGTTCAATTCCATCGTTGGTGGAATTCAGAATGCTCTTTGATGTAGGTGAACTATAAATCCCAGCAACTACAACTCCCAAATGACAAAATCATAAACTTTTGAGTGATGGTCACTCCTTGTGTTGTGAGATGTTTTGTTGCCAAATTTGTTGTGATTTCGCTCATTGGTTCTTTTGTTTTTAAGGTACTCATTATGCATAATATACACACACACACACAAAGAGAATAGAAAGAGGGCAGGGAAAAGGGTGAGAAGGAAGGAAGGAAGGAAGGAAGGAAGGAAGGAAGGAAGGAAGGAAGGAAGGAAGGAAGGAAGGAAGGAAGGAAGGAAGGTGAATATATATATGGCGCAGGCCAACTTTGGCCCTACGTGTGTTTTGGACTTCAACTCCCACAATTCCAAACAGTCCAAAATACCTTGAGGGCCAAAATTTGTCCATGCCCCATATATAATTTTTCATTGATTGGGTGTTTTTTGGGGGGGGGGGGATGCTGTTTGCTTACACCTGAAAATGACCTGGGCCGGCCCAGGGTGGAAGGAAAGTATGTAGGGCGGAGAGAATAAAGGAAGGAATAAAAGAATGACAAGAGGGAAGAAGCCAAACAAACAAATAGCCAACACCTGTAGGGAAAAGGTCCGCAAGGCTAAAGCACAAAACGAGCTCAGACTTGCCAGGGACATTAAAAACAATAAAAAGGGCTTCTATTCTTATGTCAGTAGAAAAAGGAAAAACAAGGAGGCGATAGGACCTCTTCGAGGAGAAGATGGGGCAATGCTGACAGGGGATAGGGAAAAGGCAGAACTACTTAATGCCTTCTTTGCCTCGGTCTTCTCACAAAAAGAAAGTCATCTTCAACCTCAGCAAGATGGAGTGGATGAGGGATTGGAGGACATCCAACCCCAAATTGGGAAACATGTCGTCCAGGAATACCTGGCCGCTCTAAATGAGTTCAAGTCCCCAGGGCCAGATCAACTTCACCCCAGAGTATTGAAGGAACTAGCGGCAGTCATTTCGGAACCATTGGCAACCATCTTTGAGAGTTCTTGGAGAACGGGAGAAGTTCCAGCAGATTGGAGGAGGGCCAATGTGGTCCCAATCTTCAAGAAGGGAAAAAAGGATGACCCAAACAACGACCATGTCCGGTCAGCCTCACGTCGATACCGGGCAAGATTCTGGAAAAGATTGTTAAGGAAGCAGTCTGCAAACGCTTAGAAACAAATGCAGTCATCGCTAATAGTCAACATGGATTTATCAAAAACAAGTCATGCCAGACTCATCTGATCTCTTTCTTCGATAGAGCTACAAGCTGGGTAGATGCGGGAAATGATGCCGTGGGTGTAGCGTGTCTGGATTTGAGTAAGGCCTTCTTGGACAAGGTCCCCCATGACCTTCTGGCAAGGAAACTAGTCCAATGTGGGCTAGGCAAAACTACGGTGAGGTGGATCTGTAATTGGTTAAGTGGACGAACACAGAGAGTGCTCACTAATGCTTCCTCTTCATCTTGGAAAGAAGTGACAAGTGGAGTGCCGCAGGGTTCCGTCCTGGGCCCAGTCCTGTTCAACATCTTTATTAATGACTTAGATGAAGGGCTAGAAGGCAGGATCATCAAGTTTGCAGACGACACCAAATTGGGAGGGATAGCCAATAGTCCAGAGGACAGGAGCAGGATTCAAAACGATCTTGACAGATTAGAGAGATGGGCCAAAACTAACAAAATGAAGTTCAACAGTGACAAATGCAAGATACTCCACTTTGGCAGAAAAAATGAAAAGCAAAGATACAGAATGGGTGACGCCTGGCTCGAGAGCAGTACGTGTGAAAAAGATCTTGGAGTCCTCGTGGGGAGGAAGTTAAACATGAGCCAGGAATGTGATGTGGCGGCAAAAAAAGCCAATGGGATTTTGGCCTGCATCAAGAGGAGCCTAGTGTCTAGATCTAGGGAAGTCATGCTACCCCTCTATTCTGCTTTGGTTAGACCACATCTGGAATATTGTGTCCAATTCTGGGCACCACAATTCAAGAGAGATATTGACTCTAAGCTGGAATGTGTCCAGAGGAGGGCGACTAAAATGGTCAAGGGTCTGGAGAACAAGCCCTATGAGGAGCGGCTTAGGGAACTGGGCATGTTTAGCCTGAAGAAGAGAAGGCTGAGAGGAGATATGATAGCCATGTATACAAATATGTGAGAGGAAGCCACAGGGAGGAGGAGGGAGCAAGCTTGTTTTCTGCTTCCTTGGAGACTAGGACGCAAGGAACAATGGCTTCAAACTACAAGAGAGGAGATTCCATCTGAACATGAGGAAGAACTTCCTGACTGTGAGAGCCGTTCAGCAGTGGAATTCTTTGCCCCGGAGTGTGGTGGAGGCTCCTTCTTTGGAAGCTTTTAACAGAGGCTGGATGGCCATCTGTCAGGGGTGCTTTGAATGCAATATTCCTGCTTCTTGGCAGAATGGGGTTGGACTGGATGATGGCCCAGGAGGTCTCTTCCAACTCTTTGATTCTATGATTCTATGAATGAGGAAAGGGCGACAGAAGAAAGAAAGGAACAGAGGGAGGGAGGGAGGGAGGGAGGGAGGGGAACTCCTTCCTATGTTAGAGGGTCACACTGAATTCATGGGGCCAACCCCAAATGTGGTGAAAGGATCAGAAGCGAGGCAATTGTGCGTCCTGGAGAGTGTGTTTTAGTGAATAACCAGCGTGTGCTAAATGCTCACTTCATGATTACTTCGTTCGTGATTGGTGGGTCACCTCTCTGCGCAAACAAGGACGAGCAGATCCAGACCCAATTTCCTTGAACACATGTGGGAACACAATTAGTCCTGGCTCACAATTGGGGGCTCGAGGGAAAGGAAGTTAAAAAGGAAAAGAGTACGGAAAGGTGGAAAGGAGGAAACACAAAAGGACAGGAAAATAGGAGGGGGGGAGGGGGAGGGGGGCTCTTTCCAGTAGAAGAGGGTCACGCCAATTGCTTTGCGTCAAACCCAAATGTGTTCTGAGTCCCTCCTAGGAGGTCGCAAAGGACGGGGTATAAATGCTTGAAATAAATCTATCTATCTATCTATCTATCTATCTATCTATAAATGCTCTGTGCATAATGAGTACCTTAAAAACAAAAGAACCAATGAACGAAATCACACCAAATTTGGCAACAAAACATCTCACAACACAAGGAGTGACCATCACTCAAAAAATTATGATTTTGTCATTTGGGAGTTGTAGTTGCTGGGATTTATAGTTCACCTACAATCAAAGAGCATTCTGAACTCCACCAACGATGGAATTGAACCAAACTTGGCACACAGGACTCCCATGACCAACAGAAAATACTGGAAGGGTTTGGTAGGCATTGACCTTGAGTTTGAGTTGTAGTTCATCTACATCCAGAGAGGTCTGTGGACTCAAGTAATGATGGATCTGGACCAAATTTGGCATGAATATTCAATATGCCCAAATATAAACACAGATGGAGTTTGGGGAAAATAGAATCATAGAATCATAGAATCCTAGAGTGGGAAGAGACCTCCTGGGCCATCATCCAGTCCAACCCCATTCTGCCAAGAAGCAGGAATATTGCATTCAAAGCACCCCTGACAGATGGCCATCCAGCCTCTGTTTAAAAGCTTCCAAAGAAGGAGCCTCCACCACACTCCGGGGCAGAGAGTTCCACTGCTGAACGGCTCTCACAGTCAGGAAGTTCTTCCTCCTGTTCAGATGGAATCTCCTTTCTTGTAGTTTGAAGCGTTGTTGGCATCTAATGGCTGCCAGTTGTAAGCCATACTGATTCTAAGTGTGGCGTTGATGATTATGTGTTTGTCTGTATTGTGTGTCTCAGACATTGTTTAGTGTTGCTTTTTATTGTAAACCGCATTGAGTCGCCGCCTCAGGCTGATATATGCGGTATACAAATGGTAAATAAATAAATAAATAAATAAATAAATAATTGTGGGGACTACAAGGTCCGCCATAGACCTTGACATTTGGGAGTTGTAATTACTGGGATTTATAGTTCACCTACAATCAAAGA